GGAGCGCTTCGTATTGAGTTGAGTTATTTTTGCTGTAGTTTGGGTTTGGGTTTGGGTCAATGAGGAGGGGACTTGGGATGAGAACTGCGAGGCATTATATGAGTGAGTGTGGAAAATGATGTAAATATTCACTAGAAATATTAAAAAAATAATGATATTTAGTTTAAGATCATCTAAGAGTGTCTCTGCATATATTTGGGTGCAGCAAGTGGTAGCAAAAGTTGCTCAAAAGCGGGACTCATCGAGGCATGGAAGGTATATTTGAGGAGTGAGTATTGAAAATGGTGTAAAGCTATGCCAGAAGTAGCTACAAACTTCTACCACTCTTGAAACTGCCCCAAAAGCTTCCCTGGGTCTCCCCATTTATGCATTCAATATAATAATCCACACTTCCCCTCAAACTCTTAACCAAGACCTTTCCCACCTTTCATTCCTCAGCTAATTGTTGGTGGGGTTGCGCATAAAACTTACCTTTGTTGGCGGCACGACACTGTCGTCCATTTGCTGGTTGCTCGTAAATGAAGAGGTCCTTGGGCGGCTCCGTCGCATCGGAGGTGGAGGTCAGCACTGGCTGGACGGTGGGCTGTGGAGTCGGTGGGAGCTGTGACTGCTGCTGCTGCTGCTGCTGCTGTGCTGGCAGCTTCCTGGCATGGCCATTGCCATCATAGACGACACCATGCCAATGATGGTTATGCGGCGGTGGGGCTGATGTCCGTTGTGGCTGCTGCTGATGCTGCTGATGCTGCTGCTGTTGCTCCTCCTGGAGGAGGGGCTCCTCCTCGTCACGCAATAGCTGCTGCTTCAGCTGATGTGCACGAATGAGGCGATCCCGTTCGTGAAAGTGCCTCACGAACAAGTGCTCACCGTTGGGTCCCTGCCTCGTTGGGGTTAATGACTTGAATGTTGTCTCGGGTCTGTCCTGGGCAGAGGACTGCTGGGGGTACACTCCCAAACCGTGTGGCAGACTATTAATTAATGTGCCCATGGTGGTTGCCTGTGCTGCTCTCTGCTGATAATGATGTTGTTGGAACATAATTTCATGCAATGGTATTAGAAAGTCTGGAAGGGATTTCTGTTGCTGTTGCTGTTGCTGCAGGGTTTCCATGCCAAAATATGATGAAGCCGGCAGCAGACATGTCTGGCCTCCACCTCCACCCTCACCCGAAAGTGCGGAAGTCATGTGTGTTCCGAGCATATCCTTGTTGATGTCCCGGCTGCCATTGGCCTTTCCGTTGTAATTATGATATCCAAAGCCCTCGGCGGGCCGTAGATACCAGGGATTTAACATTGTTTTGCCACGACTGCTTGTTGTTCCTGCAAAAACTATAAATCAGTGGAGATAAGAGAGTGAGAGGAGAGGGGGAAAGGGTTAGGCAATTGCATTTTTATAGACTGCCCAAAGTGAGAATTGTTTTTGTGTAGTTTTTGCGACTTTTTTACCCAAAAAAATGTGTACAAAATGTGCAAAAAAAAGGGGTAAAAAGGGTATTTTCGCTATCATTATTAACACTTGCTGGCTGGGCTGTTCACCCCCCGGCCCAACCCCTATTCAATTGTAACCCCTTCCACGGGGTATACTCCCCTGCCAACATATTGCCAATGGTAACCGTTTATGTCACTATCAATTACTCATCATTATTGAACGCTGTTACGCCTTGCCACCTTGCCACAGAACCCTCTCTCTCAACCCCATTTAGTGCCGCTTTTTCCTCGTTTTTCCTTTTTTTGTGGGGGTTGTACGCCATATTTTTGAATCAGTTCTATCATCAATTGTTTTCTCTGCTTTTTTGCTGTAATCATTTCATTTATGACTTTGATTGATTATGAAATCTGTACATCATTTGGATTTTATAGTTTTTAGATAAAGAGATGGTTGAATAGGATGGGGGGATAGAGAAGCGCACAGGGAGTGAAACTGAGTCAAATCTGAGCATTTGTGCATCGCAGTGTGGGCGTTTTTTTGCTCATAATTGTAGGCGGAGTGTCACGCCCACCGCTGAGTGATTGTGCACGCATCTCTATTAGACAAATGTCTAATGGGGGTACAAAGTGCTAACAGCTACAAAAATTGCACAGTTCTAGGCATAAATAAACTTAAAAACAAATTTAAAATCAAACAACATTTTGTTTATTTATTTTTTTTAATTTTATTTTAACTCACAACATTCTATTTTCATCTTTTTGAACCATTTTTAAGCAACGCGCCTATTCTGTATAAATTTTCCACCATCATTTGCCTCACCCCTGGCTTCAGATTTACAGCGAGATCTGCCACTGCCACTGCCACTGCTACTGTTTTTTGTTGCATGATCACTTCATTGCGGATCATTTAGAGACAGACAGGAAAAAAGCCAACCATCAAATCGTTTCATGAATGAAACGCTGAACTATGGCTAATGATGCAGAGAGATAAAAAAGCAACAAAAAATAATAACAATAACGACTGGCAGCCGTCCAAGTCCAAGGCAACCACAAAATGCTCATTTGAGCGCCAAAAAAAATTGTGTGAATAATGAGGGGCAGGCAGGAGTCCAGAGATAATTGTGATGGAAAGAAATATCCCCACAGATCGGCTGAGCGTCTGAATCGTAGTCCGAGCTATGGATATTAATTGGATTTGAGGGGCTGCCGCAGGAAAGTCATTTCCCGCTCTCTTAGGCATACAAAATAATACGGAAAATATTAGTTAACATTTAACCCTTTGTCAGCTGCCCCCCCTGGGCATTGAGTCTTGTGCTGGCCACGCGACATCTTGTGGCGGGAGGTTGACAAACCGGAAATGGAAATGCAAAAAGAGTTTTGGGATATGGCTAGGGGTAAGGGTTTGGGGGAAAGTGTGCCACGGATTATGAAAATGAAACTGGCTCTGACTTCTAATTACTGCAAATGCTTCCTGCTTTCAAAGTCTCCTCTTTCTATGGCTGCTGCCGCCTGTCAATCCGCCTGAATGCTCGTGCCAGTCAAGGTTAGTCCTCTTTCAATCTGTTGGCAGGGGGTTAAAAACTCTCATTGAAAATGGAGATCTAAAGGTGAAAGTTTCAATCAAATGAAAGGCACGGGAAAGCAAAATCAAATGCAAGGAAAGCAAATCCGAGGCAGGCGAAATCAAATCAAAGGACTCGCAGTCTTTGCTTGCACAGTTGCCAGAAGGAGGAGCAGCAGGACCAGCAGCTGCCTGCTACCACAAGCCACAATTGTTGTTAAAAAACTGCACATTAAATCCTTTTTTTGTCGTCAGGCTCAATTTGCTACAGAAGCATCCTCCTGCGAGCGCTGAGTTTTGAGCCGCGCAAGCTGCTCCGAAAGACGCTCCAAGGGCTCCCCTCCCGGCATCCTTTTCCTTTTCATGCTCAGCTCCGATTTTTTGTTTGGCATTGTTACTTTGTGCGATTATATTTACCTGCAACATGGCGATTAACGCGCATCCTGGACGAGCTGCCAGGGCTGCCCCTACCTGGTCTTTATTGCTTTCCTATGCGCCTTGATTTCACATTGCGGCACACATCCTTTATGCTTTGTGCCCCTTTGTTGCATGCACCGGCTGGCAAACACATTACACACACAGACACAATAAAAAAGTGAAAAGTGAAAAAGGGGGAAGAGCTGCAGCGGCAGGAGGAGCAGGGGGAGAAGTGACAGCAGCTAGCTGCAGTTGGTTGCAGATCCTTTTCAGCATTTTTCAATTACGCAATGGGCGCTCCTCAGCGAAATTCCCTTGAATATCTCTATTTTCTCGTTCATCCAGATGAGTTTAATTCCTTCTTTTTTATGATTTTTTCTATGATTTTTTGTACTTGTTTTCTGTGGAAATATTTTTAATTGAGAAGTTGGACCACACAGAATGAGGGAGAGAGACTGAGTGCGAAAGGAGTTGGGCAATTGCAGGGAACGTCAGGGAGGACAGCGAGTTCTTAGGCAGCTGTTTGGGGAAAGGATACATACATATGTACATATATAATTCAACTGAAACTGTAAAGTCTTGAAGCGTGCTATATGGAATATCAACATATGTACATGATTAATATTTACTCCCTTATTACTATGATTCCTTTCCAAGGTACAAGTAAACCTTTTTACTACATTTTGTATTAGTTATTGAACAAAAATAAGAAAAATAGTAATGAGGGGTGTAAATTTTGTATACTGCATAGTACCGAATAACTTTCGCACAGTGTAATTTTTTATTTAAAATTTCGTTGCCTTTTGGCACAGTAAAAAAGGTTTAAAAATGAAAAGTTAAACAAAATTCTTTAAAATTCCACGAAATGGATTTCTTGTAAGAAAACATTTGACAAAAAGTGACAGAAAGACCAATTAACTCTTACTTTATGATTATTCAATATTGAAATATTATAGCCCCGCCAGCTTCCACTATTATCATTTCCCCCTCTTTGCCTTTCCTCGACCAACTGTCTGATGGAACGACTTTATAGCATACCAAAAACTAAACACACACCAAATCCAGACCAAAATAAAAATATATTCAACTGTTTGGCAGAGGGGAGAGTGGGGCTGAAAACCATTTAGAAATGCTTGCATTATAATTGCGGTGATTATTTCGGTGCGGGGTCATTCACACGTGACATTCAGAGACACCAAAAAGGGATAGAGGCAAAGAGAAAGAGAGAGAGAGAGAGAGAGTACTGATCTACAGTTAGCGATAAAATAGTTAAATCAGCTTTGGGGGAGCTTTCTCGGGATGGCACTCGCTCGCACACTCGCAGATACGTGGAGAGTGATAAGAGATGGACCCGGGCAGAGTGCTGCTCTACAGAAAGTTCTTTGGAGAATTGCGGTTAATTGAAGAAAGCCAAGATTTCGGCACACAGATTTCGTCTGATTTCTGGGCTAACAATAAATTTGTTGGCCCCTAATGTGATTTCTGTGGTGGGCTACAGAATGGAGGGGCATTACCTAACCCACTGAGGCGTGTGGAGCTGTACCCTCTCGATCGTATAAATGTTCAAAGCGCGTTGCCAAAAAAGTTTAGAACATTTGCGTCTGTCCACGGGTGCGCAACTACAATTGAAAACAGTTCTCAGTCGACCATGTTACCCGCTCTATTGGCCACGTTAATGCCATTCGCACTAGTCGGACGCGTGTTAGCCAGCTCCGATATTTTCTCTTTGCCTTCAAAGAGCAATCACAGCGAAGAGCTGCTCGAGGACTATGGCAAGTTTATGCTGTCCGTGATGAATCGCAGCATCGATCCCTGCGAGAACTTTTACGAGTACAGCTGTGGCGGCTGGAAGAAGTCCGAGCTGGTGCCGGAGCTGGCCAGGAACTCGAGTTTCCTGTATGCCATACAGCAAAGGATCGATGAATCGGTGCTGGGATTTCTGCAAAATGTCACACAAAAGGAGCTTGAGGATCTAGGCACAAATGGCACACGATCGTCGGAGCTGAAAGCCAAACAATTTTTTGCCAGTTGTGTGAAGGTAAAGGCCAATATGTCCTTGGGCTATGATCATCTAGAACAGGACATTGATGATCGCAACAAGGAGCAACAGCCAGCGAAGACTCATACTTTGGATTGGATTTATGTGAATTTCATGTCCAAATACGAGATCTATCCGCTGCTGCCCATGAAAGTCCACTACAGCACTTCCTCGCGGAAGTTCGATGTGCTGCTGTCGCCACCTACGAAGGTCCTGGCTGGTGTCAACGATGAGCAGCTGAAGAACATGACGCGGGACTTTGGTTGGGCTGACAATCTGGAGAAGACCAAGCAGTTCCTCGAGAGTTTTGTCAATCTCACAATTTTCGAAAAGAATCTGACGGCTCTAGCGAAGACCCGCAATGAAACGGAGAAGCTCAGCCTGAAGGATTTCCTGGGCAAACACAAGCAGGATCGTCTTAATTGGACGCGGTACTTCGAGATGGCCTTCAATGGCACTCAGGACTCGAGCTGGCCTGTCCTCAATCAACTGGATGCTGGCTCCACTAACGATTTGGTGTACTTTCTGGAGCAGACCCCTCTGGACACGCTGAAATCCTACGTGCGGATGCGTGTCCTGCTGAAGTTTCATGCGTTGTGGAAGACCAAAACCAAGGAGGGTGGAGTGCAGAGCGAGTGCCGTTCGCTGACAGAGACTTACTTTAACTACGCCGTGTTGCCGTGGTTCATAGGAAAAGTCTTCGATAAGAACCAACGCGCGGATATCCTTACTGTGGCCAAGGACATTAGGGATACGTTCTACGAGCTGCTGGATCATCACGCCTGGCTGGACGATGACACACGCTCGCAGGCCAAGACAAAGCTGGCTTCGATGGACATCCTCGTGGGCTACACGGACGACCTGCAGCATCGTGAGGTCATCGATCAGGTGTACAGCGAAATCAACATGACAGGCAATTGGTATGAGAATCTGTGCATAATCGAGGGTAGCAGAGCGAGCATAAGACTGCGATCTGTGGACAAAGCGCTGATACCGATCCTCATGCCCACGCGCACGGTCAACGCGTACTACGCGGATTTTCTGAATCTTGCATTCATCACCATCGGCATGGCCCAGTGGCCATTCTACCATCGGGACTTTCCCGCTGTGCTCAAGTATGCGGGTGTGGGCAACATCATTGGCCATGAGATGGCCCATGGCTTTGACTCGTACTGCTATCAGTACAATTACGATGGCAAGCGGGTCAACTGGTGGTCCGCCACTTCGCTGAGGAACTTCAAGGAGCGCTACCGCTGCCTGGAGTCGCAGTACAACAAATTTATACTCATGGGCGTCCAAACAAATGGCACTATGACCTCCGGTGACAACATCGCCGACAATGTCGGCACTCGCATGGCCTATTACGCCTACAAACGGAAAACCGGGGACAAGGCCTGGCTGGAGCGGCCCCTACGCGGCTTGGACTTCAACAACAAACAACTGTTCTTTGTCAAGTTCGCGCAGAGCTGGTGCAATGGCAAAGACAGCGGCGATAAGCTCAAGAAACTGAAGACCGATGTCCACGCCTACGATGAGTTTCGGGTGCAGGGCACGCTCAGCAATATGCCGGAGTTTAGTGAGGCTTTTGGCTGCAAGTTGGGCTCGGAAATGAATCCACTCAAAAAGTGTGTCGTTTGGTGAAAAATAAAGAGAGTTTTTGTAGCGAAAATATGAGTAAGGGGAGAGAGGTTTGTGGTGCATTAATTTGGAGCATTAATTAAGCTTATTTCTTGCATAAGCTTGCTAGCAGCAGCAGCGGCCGTTCTTTCGTCTCTCTATCCCACGCCTTCTCCCGCCTTCTCCCAACCTCCCCCGCGATCTAGCTAAGCTTCGTGCGCAACTTAGCAGAAGCCCGACGCTGCGCCAGCGCTCTCTTTAAAACTCTTTCTCTCGCTCACTCAGGGCGCGGGCAGTGCGGCAGTCCACAAACAAGCTTACATACACATATACATATGTAAATATGTTAGTATACACATTTGTGTCGTTTGCGTCTATGCACAGAAGAGGGTAATTCATTTGAGCATAAATCCCAATCTAACTGCAGACTTTTTCAGCACAGTGTATGATCGATGAAAAGATAACGAAAACGTCTTAATTTTCTCTCCGCCAAAGTTCGAGCTGCAACCGTTTAGCAGAAAATCGATATTTCATGGAGCATAAATGAACGCCCTCCACTTGGAGCAGCTGATCTTCAGCTGATGGCAATCGAATAGAAGAGAAACACTAATTGATTTGATGCAGAACCTGACGGTGTAAACTCCCACCAAGTAGGCATCTGAACTGAACGACTGTTCGACTGTGGGCGTTTCTCGGCAATATTTGTCTTTGACTTTGCAACGATGACACCTTTCTCATTACGAATTAATGGCATTTTCCAGCAAACAAAAGATGAAACAAAGGAAAGCAAAGGCAAGGAAAGTCACTCTTCAGAAAAGGTGCAGAAAGGAAAGCCAAGAAAAGGTGCAGAAAGTGTGGTAAGGCTGCCGGCTCTGTTGCTGTTCTGTTTTTCTCGAAAGAATAATAGTTTGAACTATCATTAGTCGGCACTCGAGAGAGATACGCAGAAGGAACACAGAGAGAGAGAGAGAGAGAGAGAGAGAGTGAGAGAGAGAGGGAAAAGTCAAAAAGGAAGCCAAAACCGTTGGCTTCGAGGCTGCCTCTCCTGCATACGAAATGAACGTCCGTCCCAGTATTTGCTTAAGGATCTTCAGGCGTCTTATCTTAGGCGTCCTGTCGGCCTAACGGATTTTCGTGCATTTGTTATGGATTTTCGGCGCCAGCTCTCTTATTAGCTCTCACAGCCAGGCAGGCAGGCAGGCAGGTAACTGATCCTTGCTGTCGTCTGGCTGCTGCGTCTCAGCGGGACTCCTGACTTCTGGCCCATAATCTGCAGGTCATAAAAACTACGTGCAGTGTGCATTGCGCATTGCCGATAGATCATTAATTTAATAGTTTTTGTGCTGCTCGAAATGCAAAGTGCAAACCTAAAAACGTAGCATCGTGGAGGTGGTCTCCGTTCCGGCAAATCAAATTGCAAAAATCTTCCACTGGGAAATTCAAGAACTTCTTTGCCCTCCGCCCTCTATCTGATAATTGCCACTTGCACAATGGACCAGGCCCAGTCAAATTAGTCTTAATTTGTAATCTTCCGTCCTCTATCCGGAGTACACCTCCAACCTGAACTCCATCTTCGCCGATCTTCCTCCAGATCGCATTAATTTCGTTTATGTAAACCAATCCGAGCACCGGCTAGGGCTTGTCGCTGGTAATGCGAAAGGCGTGGATGGTGTAATAAAAAATCAACTTGCTGCACTGCTAAAGGGGAAGAAGAAGGAAGGAGGAGAGGGAGAAGAGGGAGATGAAAACAACAGACTGAGTGGGGGTGATGTACGGAATTGTTGGATTAGCTAGTTGATGGGCAGCAATAAGTCGATGAAGTCGACTGACTGATCCCAGATACATTATAGATACAAATACAAAGCTCAGCTTATGATTAAATTAATGCAGTAGAAGTTTCGATATCTGTAAGGATCCTGCTACTTCGCTTCACAAATATCCCGTTCAAAACAAGTTGCCAAAAGCATGTTTCCATAATTACATGCAGAATGGCTTTTTGTGCCACAGTCTGTCCAGCCCTGCCCTGCCTGATGGCGACCCCGACCTGCTTCCGCCGCTTAGCCAGTGTCTTGGCCGGTCGCAGAATTTACCCCACACACCCACTCCGCTTACTCCCTGCTGGATCGTCATCATCATCGAGTGGCTCCTCCACCATCGCCACAGAAATTGAACAAAAGGGGCGTCAACCCAGGCCGAGCCGTGGAGCACAGTGGAGGAGGCAGTCAGTCAGTCAGTCAGGTAGTGGGAACTACTACCAAAACAGTTGCAGCTCAGCAGATGGGCAGCAGCGACAGAGAGAGAGAGAGAGAGTAAAGCGTCGGGGTGTTCATGGTGAATTATGAAAATCGTTGCGAAATTAAGTTAAGAACTTTTTAGCAGGAAGCAAAAATATTGCAGCCAGGCAGCGATAGGAATGGGATTAGGAATGGTAGCGTGACTTGAACTAGAGTTTGTGGAAGAGAATTGCAAGATTTGAGCAACGAAGTCATTAGGGAAGAGTATAAGGCATTTTTGGTACTTTTAAAGACAGATCAAAGCTAGATTGAAATATTTTTCCAATTAAAATATTTAAATTTAAATATGTATATGAAAATGAAAATATTCTACAGAATATCTAGTGATAAACAGAACTATTTATGAGCGAAAGGCATACGAAACCAACTCAAGATTATAGTACAATTCCTTCTGCTATTTCCCCACACATTTGCCTGGCGCACCCCTTAAAAGTATTATTAGAATTCCATTTGCTCAAGCTCCCATCTCTAAAACTCAGTCCAACCATTGAGTCCCAACCTTTGCTTTATTAAATGGAGATGATCAATTTAAATATTTTTCGCAATTGCTGCTGCTATGGCTGCTGTGGTGCGTGAGCGGCCTGACCCTCTGGTTTTTGGCGAAGAGGCAACAGCAGCCACCGCAGCAGCCACAACACTCGAGCGTGGGGCAAGTGCATATACAGCACATCTTGATGCAACCTGCTGCTGCCAATGCGGCTGATGCTGTCTTGCCGCCTCCTCTCGATTTGTATAAAAAATGTGCTTCATTTGGCCGCGACCGGCGTCCGCCTTCGTTTTGGTTGAGGGTAAACGCCCCAGACCGAGTCAGTGCCACAGCACTAGTACCAGCTCCCGCTCCCTCTCCCTCTCCATCTCCATCTCCAGCCATAGCCCCAGACCCCAGACCCCAACGCAATATGCCCCGCCGAAAATGCAGCAAACAAATCGCATATGGATCGCATGGATCGCTGGGAGTCTGGCAACGGGCCGGCCCGGCCCGAGCCCGTTCTGCTGCTGGATTTTCGCCAACGATTATCTAAATTGCATACGAAATTATTTTAATTAAAAATCTAATTTTCTTAGCCGCCTTACAAGGTAGGAGAAGCGATTTTGTTTTGGGTCTGCCTGCGCGCTCTTTGGGTTCTTCCTTCACAGAGAACTTTTACCATACTTTGGATATTGGAAATTTTGTGGGAATTTCTGTGTGTCTTGTTTGTTCATTGAACCTTTAATTTGACGCGATTAAAACGATATTAGGCCGCGGTCGCATCTGTTGCAAGGTTGCAGCAAGGAATCTTCGACTTGGCCCGTCCCTTTGGTAGGTGTGAAGATATGTATGACGGCGTCAGCTGTGACCCCTCATCTTCAACATACGTGACCGACCATTCATTGATTAATGATGCATCATTTTGGTCTGGTATTACACGGACAGACTGTCTTAATAGACGCCTTTCCGGTTGGCATTTCTTGGCTGGGTCTATGCAAGGGTTGAAAGATCACAAAGAAAAGAGTTACTAGAGAAATTATTTGGCTGACAATAAGTTGTTGAATCGTATAAAAAAAACTAGTAATTTGAGTTCCCATACAACAATCATCTGCAGCAGATACTCGTTGCGCATCTCTTTTCATTGCAATTCAATCAACCACCAACCGATGAATAAAATTTAAATAAATGTTTGATTTGAATTTAATTGAAGCAGAACCCACAGGCAGCACCTGTCTGGTGCAAGCTTTGAGCCGTGATTGAATATAAATCAAATGCAACCGACGGCCCGAGCAGCTCAGCAGCTCAGCAGCCAGCCATCAGAGCGCGGATCAAAGGAACGCGCTAATCACACGCTGAGCCAAATAGGATCTAATTTCCACACAGAAAAAACAACAACCATTTGTTATGTGAACAACAAAAGAAGAACAAAGTATATGGAGATGCATTTATAGAGAGATCAGAATAGATCAGTTCACGGTGCAGAGCTATCAGGTGCAGAGCAGCATTCAAATTTCGCGCATCTACCGAAGATAAATGATGCCAGAATAGATCCCAGGAACAGGTCGCACAGGTAGAACCATCAACAGATCTCCGAGTTTGCAGGTAACTCAAAACATTTTCAATTTGAATTTTCGACAATAATTAAGCGCAACAATGGATTTATTGGGTTTTTCCTTCAACATAATCTTTGAATTGCTTTTGCGGTTCCTCCGATTCCCCGGTTGCCGGTTGTGCCAGCGAGCCCACAATTAGTTGGGACCTCAACTCAGTCTCCGTCCCTATCCCATGTCGATCCCATCTTGTGGCAAAGCATCATCAGCGGCAGCAGTTGCAATTATCATAATTATTTTCATTCATGCGGCGTTGCATTCAACTACTAGAGAGGAGCATTTACTCGACGACTGACTGACAGTAGATCTCTCTCTCTCTCTCTCTCTCTCTGCCATACAGATTCGATTGGCGAGATAAATTCTTCTGCGCAGTGCCAGAGGCTGAATGAAATGTTTGAGATCTTAACGCCATTTCCCTTTTGTTGTCTTCGGTGCCTTCTGTTCTCACATATACGAGGAGAAGGAGATGCAGGATGGGGTATGCGATTGGGGATGAGGATGCATTCAAATGTTTTTATTTTTCTTTGCATTTCCGGCACTTGCTGCACGAACACTGAACTGCAATTGGTTTGAACACCCTTTTTTATTTACTGGGCTTGGTGTGGGGTGCCAACAAGTGTAAATTACTTACTTTCAGGGATCTCAAACTCC